TCATCACGTAAGCTGTCATCGCTACAACCGCCGTGACCATGTCACTGATGGTATCTAGGTTGCTCCGTACTCTGCTGCCGGAAGGCGTGGCTAAGGGCCTCTTCCACCTGCGGCGATGCGCAAAACCTTCCGACCTGCCCACCCATCTCAAGACGCAATTCATGAACGCCACGCCCGAGGGCCGACAGATCCATACGGGCAAGTCGAGCTGGATCTATATTATGCTCTGCGAGGACTCTGAATTCAGCCGAGACGCTCTCACTGAGGAGCTGGCCAAAGTCGAGGGCATGGGCCAGGAGCCTTTCCTCGAGTCGGTGCCTATTCCTTTAGTCGCCCCCACCTCACAGGTTCAAGCTGCCATGTGGTCGTCGCAATTCTGGCCCTGCGTCTACCGCAAAAACAACCCTCTCGGGCCTCATCCCGCCTTGGTAGCCCGCGCCTCTGATGTTGTCAAGGACGAAACGTCACTTTGGATGGCTCTCGCCCACCGCGTTGCGCGCTCTGCGTACGACGCTGGTATCGGCGAGCCCATGGGCGCCGTCATTATTCAGCGTGAAAACGGAAAGTCTGAGCTTGTTGGTCTTGCTGGGGATGCCCGCTGGCACCAGGAACCGTCGCGGTCCGGCACCGGCAATCCAATGGCCCACTGCGTGCTTCGTGCTATGAGCATGGTCGCCCAAAAGCTGGTGCGTCACGAGCGGCAGAAGGTTGGGCTGCCGTTTGTCCACTCGAATCTGGAATTCGACTGCTTCCAGGACCAACCTCTTCTGGAAGAGGAGCGGATTCTCTTCGAGGAGGAGCACCCCAATTCAGAAGGCTACCTCTGCCACGGCCTCGAGCTTTACACCACCCACGAGCCCTGTGTGGAGTGCTCGATGGCGATGCTTCACTCGCGCATGGGCAAGATTGTGTTCTGCAACCGCATGCCCCTGACTGGCGGCATCGCCTCGGAGCAGCGCGGAGAGGGCATGCCTGAACTCGCTGAGTATGGTGGCGGGAACGGGCTTGGTCTTTTCTGGAGGCGCGAGCTCAACTGGAGCCTGCTGGCTTGGGAGTGGGAGCTGAGCGACAATCTCAAACCTCTGCCTCCCGTCGCACACACGCGCCATGCCTAGGAACACGGGCTGTACGGAGCGTTTTCGAGAAGTCTTGGTTCCTTTGGGACCAAGGCACCGGGGGAACGACTAGCAAGGCGGGAAAGGGTCGGTATTGTTCTTTGCTCCCGTGCGTCATGTTTTCTTTGTGGTTCATACTCTTTTTTTTGGCTGTCAGGGTAAACAGAGGGGTTAGATAGCCCTCTGGGCTCCATCCTCATGTGTGGTGATTATGACGAGGTGGAGGGAGGTGGAGGTGGAGGTAGAGGTGAAACATTTATGGTGCCTGTTCAAAGCAGGCCGGAGAGGCCATTGCAGTGCAGTTGTAGTAGTGGCAGGCAGCTCATTAAGGGCTGCGGGTTATGAAAAGTACAGGAACATCAATTCACATGCCCCTCTACATTACTTTGGAGAACACATGCCCCTCTACATTGATTTGGAAAAGAATAAGAAAGCCCGACCGGTGTGTCTTCTTGTGGGCGGCTACAGCTGAGGCATTGATGGTCCCGTGATGGACGCTGTCGAATTGCTTGGCAGAGTCAAGCATCTGAAGCATTTTGAAGGGGGGGGGGGGACTCTTATCTTATCACGAAGGCCTGGTTTGTTTCCTTCTTGACCCTCCTGCCGACCCGACCCCGAACAAACCCCCCCCCCCCCGCAGTTGTAGGAAGTTTGGGGTAAGGGTTATGGGAGTGGCACTCCCCCGAGACAGGCTTGGTGGGAGAGAAGGCGAGATACCTGGAAGAAAAGGTGAGTTGAAAAGCAAAAGAAAGAAAAAGAATTCTTTAATCCGGGAGACGCAAAGAGGGCGGGGGTAAAGACAGAGAAGGAGGGGCATCGCCTGGCAGGGATGGTGACGGCGGGGGGGGGGGGGGAGGGCGGGAGGGAGGAAGGGAAAGAAAGGAAGGCGGGGGTGAGGAGAAAG